CCCCTTTCCTAAGCCCTGCAGCAGGTCTGAGGTGCCTGAAATTCAGCTCAGGGCTGAAACTGAGACAGAGACCTCTCCTTCCTCAGAATTTTTGGGGGCACCTAACAAGTTCATGGAAAGTTCACCCCCTCACCAGATTCCACATTTAGACTCTGGCGGGGATCCAGGGACGCCTGCCAGGAATCCATCCCTCCAGCTTGTTGGGGCCCCTGGGAGGTTCCCATTTCCTTCCAGGACAAAGGCGGACAACTGAGCTGTGCTTCTCCGCCAGTCACCCCAGCAAACACAGACCCAGATTCCCTTCCTGAGCTAGGCCTTGGGGGGCTCCATTATAGGTCAGGGCAGGTGCAGGAGGGGAGCCAGCCCCTCAGAAGCCCAAGAAACACAACCCCCTTCAGTGGGCAGCCCTGGTGACAGGATGGGGCGCTGCCCCACCGGGCAGAGAACACAGTGCTAGGGAGGACTTGGGAGCCTGCGGATTCTGGTTCTCCTACGCCGTGTCTGCTGAGCTCAGGTCCAGAGGCCGCACCCTATGGGTCAGGTCAGCGGGTGACAACTCCAGCTTCAGCGCCCCACACCTAATCCTCCTGAGAGCCCTGGTGGATGACCCAGCCTATACTGATCTCCCACGTGTCTGCGTGCCCCCACGTGTCTGCGTTCCCCGTCCTTCCTCTCCCCACTATCCAAAAACCAAACCAAACCCGTAGCCATCGAGTCAATTCAGACCCATAGTGACCCTACAGGACAGAGCAGAACCGCCCCATAGGGTTTCCAAGGAGCAGCCGGTGGATTCGAGCGGCCGAGCTTTTGGTGAGCAGCCGCGGCGCTTAGCCACTGTGCCTACTAGAGTTAATTCTGATTCGATGCTGGCCTGATGAAGCGGGGTGGTGAAGTGGTTATGAGCGCGGAATCTAGAGTTAACCTCTATTCGGGTCCCAGCTCTGTGAACGCCTGGCATGCTGAGCCCAACTCCTCGTCAATCAAGTGGGGACGGCAGTAACATGGCCTCCTGGTGGTGCGTGAGAATCAATGAGATGACGCCCATCAGATGCTTGGCCAGGGGGAGTGCTCCACGGACCCCACCTGTGAGCTATTATTATTATTATATTGCTCTAAGAGCTAATGGCTCTCAGCCCTGCTCCACATTGGACTCACCTGCGGAGCTTGTGGCGGGGGGCGGGGGGGGAGTACCAATGCCTGAGCCTCCCTCCAGACCAATTAAATCAGAATCTCTGAGCATCGGTGTTTTTTAAACTCCCAGGTAATTCTAAGGAGTGGCAGTTAAGAACGGGTGCTCTAAGCTCCTCGGTGCCTGGACCCTCTCCCGTCTTGCCCTTGTCAGCCTAACCCAGCGCTGCGCACAGAGTGGACACTCAACACGTGCAGCTGGCCCACTGCCCAGGCTGAGCTGAGGGGCAGCCGTTAATGCCCAGCTTGGAAGGGTGCCCCCTTACCTTGGAGGCCTTTCTCCACTGCCGTAAGCTGCCCTGGCTTGGACTGGAGGCCCCGGAGGTGCCAGGGGCTGGGGACGGGTCCCTGGAGTCAGCCTCAGCCCCTGCTCTGAGGTCCAAGAGTCAGGTCTGTTGGCACCTGCTCCTCGTTCCGTGCCTGGTGCAGCTTCCTGGCTGATGAGAACCTCGC